TCTCTTCCTGGCTTACCTGGAAAGTGCCACCAAGCACGGATGCCTGACCTTATTTGGAACATGACCTTTGGCATAGTTACCTGGAGTAAAAACTACCTCCAGGTTATTTCTATATGATAATTAGACATTGCCCGTTAGTCGGATGATAGGAGCCTACTGCCACATGTAAATAAAGCATACTATGAGCACTTATCAGCTGAAGCATTGGCTACTGCCTCCACACTATATTTTCCCTGACCCCCACTGAATAAACAGAGCTGTTTCACTGAATCTGCCTCCCTGGAAAGTCTTTTTCCGTCGTGCTCACTGGCCGTCCTGAACCCGTTCGTCGCTTCTGCTCCCTTTGTTTTCGTGGGTCAGTGGCCAACGGCCCACGAGGGGAGGGAGAGACCCACACTAACTCAAAAAGCAAGGTGGCAAGCAATCAAGGAAGACCTGATGTCAAACCCTTGGCCTCTACCTGCATGTCCACCTGTACACACACATGCATATACATATGAACACATACCAACAACACACACACACAATTACTTAATTTAATAAGAAAACTGTCAATAGATGATTGAGTTACAGGCCTAGAGGAAGGGATGTCACTGGCCTGCTTTTCTTTTTGCCCACACAAAGCCCCTCACATCAGAGACACACAACTGTGTGTGTTAGTTTTAAAGCTGAGTTTTTATAGGATTTTTCAATTCATGGACTAAAGACTTATTAGTAAAAATATTCAAATGTGAGCATAACAAGTATTTGCCAAAGTTAGAACAAAAGCAAAAGGTGGAAAAGACGAATTTCCCATAATAGAGATAGGCCTCGATGATAAATCTCTAGGCTAAATTCTTTTTCATGCATGAGGGTAGAAGGATTGCCTGTGTGTTACAGAATGAGAAATAAAAAAGGTAATCTCTATTTTTGTGGTCTTAGCTAGCTTCAAACTGTGCCCTCAAAGTAAGGCACTCAGTTGACATTGAGAACTTCTTTTCCCAACCACTTCCATGGACTCTCCTCCAGAAAGCTTCCCCTGACCTTGTAAATGTAAACAATCACAGCATCATTGGTGGTTATCTGAGAGGCCCTGCCTATAGTTGGACCAAAGGCTTCTACTTCGTATCTGAGGACTTCCTACCCTGAAACCCTTAGCTGGAGCACTCGTGTTCTTCACTTTTAGGAAAGGATTGCCAAAGGCCATGGTACCCAGTGTGGATTCTGTACTCCAGGTATGGTGATGAGCATCTACACTCTCCTGAGGAACCATCCAGAGCCCTCCACAGAACAGTTAATGGAAACCTTGGGTGGTGAGTCGCTAACATCTTAAATTGTGGGGTAAAGTGAACAGAGATGCTAAAGTATTTCCGTGCATGGAATTAGCTAGAAGGTTTGACACAGACGCAGGCATGACCTTTATGATCTAACCTTCTTATTCAGTCTTAGCAAGTATTATCCATCCCTATTTAGCAGAAGGGGAAACTGAGGTAGCCATCAAGAAAGTCAAGTAAGTTTTTCTTAAAACTATTACATTTTTGGCAACATATTCTCTCTGGTGACTTTACTGTAATATATACTGGTATGGCACATGCTTATTGAAATAGTCACTGTGTGAATGTCATTGATGTAATTTCTATGCTACTAAAATGGTGCTTGGAAATACTAAGACTTCAAAATCCTTTAATTATGTACTTGGAACTAGCCTAAAGAAGCAGCGACTTTGTGTTTTGTTTTTATTTGTTGTTGTGGCTCTTGCTGCTGCCATTACAACTCCATTCCAAACTCTTAGGAATTAAGGAGGACATTGCTTATGACTCATAAACTTGCATACCATTGAAATGCCTTGAGACTTTAAGTTGTTATTTCTCCTTCTTTGTCCTTTTGGAAACTTTTTTATTCTTCTCAAGTTTTATATATACATTCTATCATGTCAAGATACTTTTTAATTTCTCTTCTGCATTTGCATATCTGATGAACATTGCCTGCTGTCTTTATGTAGGTCATGGACTAAACTATTGACTAGAAGAAGCCAAGTGGAGCTTTCTGAGAAAACTAATCAATATTAACACTGAACTGCTGTTTAATCATGTATTGTACATTTACATTTTCCCGTCCTTTACACAGAGGAGCCCAGACTTGTCAAGAGAGATCCCTGAGCACTGTGCCTATAACAGTGATCAAATTCACCCTAGAATTCTTATTCCAAAAGAGAAGTGAGGAATCTGGGAGGGAGCCAGGAATGAGGTCCTCTGCTTTCTCTCTTACGTCTCTCAGCATTGCTCTCTCTTCACTGGGCTATGGATTTGTTCTCTTTTTGATGTGTTGTCACTGATGGTATTTTCTACAAAATCTATCTGTCTGGTGTTTGGCCAACCTGACACTGTCCCCTTTGTTTTCTGGTTTGCCTCATGAATTTCGGCATTTCTTCATCTCCTTTCTTTGTTTTTACTGAACAGAAAGTAATATGATTCCAGCCCTCCTCCCTCACATCTTCATCATGTACAGTTACATTCTCCAAATTTCACACTGGAGAGCTTCCACATTTTTGTGATATGTTCCTTTCTGTGGTTTCTGACCAATGGAAGGAAGACCCATCAGTGCTCTGTACTTTCAGAAAAGACCTTTTCACCACTATTACCCTGAAGAAAATCAAGCATTCTTCTTCAGAGACCATGTCCCCAACACCTGCCACCTTCACACAGCCTTTGTGGTAAGCTTGACAGCACCACCCAACATTGATTCCTCTGACTTTTGTAGTAGACATTACAAACCTCCCTCACTGAGTGATGCTTTCCCAACTATAGCTTCCTCTGTTCCAGCTTCTCCAAAAAAGTTTCATCTATGATGTCTGTTAAGCCAGGTGACCCATGTTTTCCAACTTCTCTGGGAGTTAGATTTTGGTCCACTAGTAATGTATTGGAGGTATGAAGGGTTTCCACATGAAGGCTGCAGGGGATGTTGAAAGTAGGAATCCCAGAAGACCCAGGAGTCAAAGAGAATGCTAGATTCAGCAAACAAGAAGTCTTGACATTTTGCAGAAAACTGAGGTACTACAAGCAGGTATCAAAAGTCAAGGAAGGCTTAGAAGCAGAGAATCAGGTAAGTTAGGAAATAGTAAGTCAGGAAAGGTAACTATAAAGCTACACAGTCACCTTCAGGAATGTGGCCTGTGACATGATACACAAGACCAATTTGTGTCTCTCATTAGGTCTCACCCGAATGGTCTCTGTCTGTTTCCTTCTTGTGATGTACCTGATTTCTACTCAAGTGCTGATGATCCTATGGCCTCAACCTTCTTTGATAGTTTGCATTTTGTAACATTGCCAGATCTACTACTGACTCTTGTCTTTCCAAGTTTGGAGGTACCTGCTAGACCTCAAAAGCCTCTTTACACCAAAATAGAAGGCCCCCCTCTTTATCAGCTGTGGTGTGTGCTTTGACATCTGGAGGATACAGCAAACTTCTTGAATAATTTCTCTGCACAGTACACCACTCTATGATAGTACTATGTCCCAGTTATTCAGATGAGGAAACTGAGGTACAAAGTGGTAAAGATACTACCCAACATCTTACACCTAGTAGAAGAGAGAGTCTGGATTTGAACCTTGGGATGTGATGTAGAATCTATGATTTTAGCACCTTGTCTAATTTCTTCATTTTCCCAGAACTATTCTTTTTTTTTTCCTTGTTACTTTTTTCTTGTTATTTTCTCTAGAGAGCTACAAAGGCTTCCTTTACTGTCTTTGTTTTCCCCCAAGATAAGTGTCTTCTTTGGTTTCATATTTTCAAATAACATTTATGTGTGTTTTAAATCTTCTTTCATTCTCTAATTCAGTCTCTGTATTAATTACTTTTCTGTTGCTGTGATAAAACACCAGAACCAAGGCAATTTATAGAAAGAAGAGTTTATTTGGCTTATGGTTCCAGAGGGGAGCAATCCACCGTGGCAGGGAGTCATGGCAACAGGAGGAGGCTAGAAACAGAAAGCCAAGGGCTCACATCTTCAAGCAGCCATAGGAAGCAGAGAGACACAGATTGGAAGTGGGATGTGGCTTTGAACTCTCAAATCCCACCCCTAGTGACAAGCTTCCTCCAGCATGGCCACACCTCCAAAAGAGTCTATGACCCTCCCCAAAGAACAGCACCACAAACAGGGGCCAAGTGTCCAAATACTTGAGCCTATGGGGATATTCTCATTCAAACCATCGCATTCTCTTAACTTTCTATGAGCATTAGTGACTGCTCAATGTGGGATACACAGTGTACCTGTAGGCTGGGGAGAATCAATCCAGATCAGGACTTCTGATTCATGAATAGTTCTTTTGAAAGGATCTGTGGGCTCATAACTTTTGTGTAAACTACAGAACAGATCATATTCTCAGAGTCTACGATCCTATCCAGTAAAGATGAGAGTCTGTTGTCCTAAGAGACACAGGAATCATGACAGCACAGTGACATGCTGAGTAGATCCAGAATCATATTCTCAGAGTCTACGATCCTATCCAGTAAAGATGAGAGTCTGTTGTCCTAAGAGACACAGGAATCATGACATGCTGAGTAGATCCAGGGACCATTCCTCCAGATGTGCTTTCTACCTCTTTGTAAGAGATGATCCCTCTGTGTCAGGGTCAGTCCCTCTGTCCTAGTTTGTTTCTTCATTGCTGTGACAAAACACTCTGACCACTACCAACTTGAGGAGGAAAGGGTTTATTTGGCTTACATCTCCCTGGTCACAGTTCATCAGTGAGCCCAAGGTAGGAACTCAGGGCAGGAACCCAGAAGCAGGAGCTGGAGCACAGGCCATGGAGGATCACTGCTTACTGGCTTGCTCCCCTGGCCCCTGCTCAGCCTGCTTTCTTATGCAACACAGGCCCACCTTCCCAGGAGTGGCACCACTCACAGTAGCCTGGGTCCTTGTACATCACTCAACAATCAAGAAGATGCCCCATGGACATGGCCACAAGCCAGTCCAATGAAAGCAATTCCCTAATTGAGGCTCCCTCAACCCAGGTGTGTCAAGTTGACACCAAAGCTATCCAGCACACCCTCTATTATAAGATATATTAACTCTATCTAGTAACCCTCAAGAACTGAAAAATGTTTACCCTGCTTGCAAGCTAACAAGTTAGCCTGCCACCCATTTGTTAGATGCTTATGGAGACACAAGACCTTTAGGTCAAAGATTTATAGAACTGTCACAGCTAGAGGAGCAGCGTCTGTACCACCTTCTGAGTCCTAGTTGCCACAAGGCAATCTGAAGAGGGCCAGCTGACCCCTGCATATGTAATGGGCTAGTCAACATGGGAAGAACCCTGAATTTAAAGAACTCAAGGTTTACCTTATGGATGGTAAGCCTCCCATAAGGTGACACACCTTTATTATTCTAGAAGCAAATGTTCCTGTTCTCTTTTTGTATTGAGACCCTGTCTTTATCCCCTCTACACAAGTATCCTTGAAAACATAGTTTTGACCAGTGGAGAGCTGTGTACATCTTAGCATGTGAATTGTACCCTTTATAGCAATTTTCTCTGACTGTTGTCCTTGCTTCTCACTAAGTTTCTGTTCTGTGTCTTTCACAATAATGCAGCTCAGAGATGTGTCCTGAGTGACTGACTCCTGGTAACATGAGTGAAATCTAGAAAGGCTGCTGGGATTTTCGTAAGATTGGTAGGAAGATGTTATGATTCAGGAGACCCAGCTATGAATGTACCAAGTAGGGGGAAATGGCCTCGAGTGTAAACATTGTGTGTCTCGTTCACCCAGGTAACTTATGCCACTGCACTGGATACAGACCCATTGTGGAGAGTGCAAAAAGTTTCATCCCTGTGAGTGTTAAGTGAGTGATGGCTGCTAAGCCGCATCATGCCCTCCCCTGCCAGTTCCTTCCACACTTCCCACCAATGGAGGATTGGCTTTGAAGAAAAGCACAATATGTGTATTAGAGAAAAATAGCTTTCTGTTTTACCCATCTCAATAAGCATAACTATATTTTTTTTCAGAATTACAGACAGGTAGCACCATAATAGTTTTTCTTGAAAGTGAGGTTTGTAGAAATAGCATATTCTAAGTGAAAATGGATAGACCATCCTTCTAACATCCTGCTTCATGATAAAGAAGAACTAAGAAAAGCCTGTTTCTCATACTGTCATTTCAGAGGCACTTTTGGTTGAGGCATAGCCAAAGTGGAACATTTTCATCAAATGAATGCCGCTGTTCTCTCTGAGTATGATTCCACCTTAGATTAATACTGATGGGAGATGGGGAAGAGAGAAGAAGCCATTACCATCATCCACACTGGGTGGAATCAGTTCTCACTGAGCAACCTACAACATCCACAGAGCATCAGTATCAGACCCCCTCTGCCCTCGCCCTACGCAGCCTCCTCTGAAGCAGATACCCAGTGCTTCCCCATAGTCACATGGAATAATTCTGATGCCAGATATACAGAGTTTGCCACACCAACCAATCCTCCTATTGTCCAGACATCAACAGGGTGCCCTGCACTTTAACCCTGTGCTGTCACTAACTATCCAGAGTTGGTGTCACAGCCCACAAAGTAGAGTTCATAAAACTGCTCCCTGCTTCAATGATAAGACTGGGCCTTTGGTATTTCTGACCGACTAACTACAAATCAGTAGTTTCTACACCCCTCCTCAGGTTCAATAATTTGCTAGAATAAGTAATAGAACTCAGGAAACACTTCTTATGCTTGTTAGGTTATTATAAAGGCTGTTATAAAAGGAACAGATGAATAGCTAGGTGAATAGGCACACAGGGTAACATCTAGATGGGTTCCCAGTCAGTGCAGTTGTAGTCTACCAGGCTCCCAGCACAGTGATGCATTCACAGCCCAGACACTCATAAATTTTCTGGTTCAAATGTGTTTATAACTGCATAGTTGCATACATCTGTAATCTCAGCACTCAGGAGCCTAAAGAAGGAGGACTATGAGTTCAAGGGAAGTCTGAATTACATAGTGAGTTCAAGGTCAGCCTAGGCTACATAGGAAGAGATCATCTGCATTGTTGTTGCTCTTCTTGGGGGTTTTGTTTGTTTTTGTTTTTGTCTTTTTGAGACAGGACCTCCCTGTAGCCCTTGCTGGCCTGGAACTCATTACGTAGACCAGCCTGGTCTCGATCTCACAGAGATCCACCTGCCTCTGCCTCCTATGTGCTGAGATTAAAGGCATGCACCACCACGCCCGACTTTGATTTTTGTTTTTTAAAAATGGGAGAAGCAAGCAAGAGTTAAGATGATAACAAAAGAGGGCAGGTGAGGGAATATGTCTAAAGGAAAGTTAAAGAGTCAGCAGGCACTCTTACCCACTGAGCCATCACTCTTGTATAAGCCTAAGGACCTGAGTTTGAATTCCAGTACCAACATAAAAAGCCAGGCATGACCACACATGCCTATAACCTCAGCTCTGTGATGGGCAGAGACAGGAAGATCCCTGGGCTTGCTGGCCATTAGACTAGCTCCATGTTCAGTGAGAGACTCTGTCTCAAACGAATAAGGTGGAGAATGACAGAGCAGGACATTCAACATCTGCCTCTAGCCTCTGTTTGCACATCTATGCATGTACCCGCACATACACATGCACGTACACCATACACACACAAACACACACACAAACACACACACACACATACACCACTCACACACATACATACAACACAAAAATAAATAAAATAAATAAATGAGACTAGAAAATTATGTAAACAAAATTAATATCAATAATTCACATCAAACATTTATCATTGTGTATAGAAGTTAAGCTTTGTTTATTTATTCATTCAGTTTTCAATTCAAGTTCATTCACTACTTGAAATGATAAGCTACAGCCTCTAGGTAACTTCCACTGTCACCTATATATCTTTTCCTTTTTTAATGTATATTTTTATTGCATTTTTGTGGATTTTATACAATACATTTTAGTCATATTTAGACCCCCTCATCTATACCCTGCCATAGCCCTCTCACAGAATTTCACCCATTCTGTCTTATATGTTAAATCTTATCAAGTCAAGGGGCTGGAGACATGGCCCAGTGGTTAGGAACACTGGCTGCTCTTGCAGAGGACCTGGGTTTGAATTCCAGCACCCACAGGGCAGCTAAAAAAAAGTCTGTAACTCTAGTTCCAGGGGATCTGATGCTCTCTTCTGACCTCTGCTGGCATTGCATGACATATGACAGGGATGCACTTACACCCATGCAGACAATATACTCATACACATACAATAATAATAAAAATAAATAAAATATTTTTAAAAGTCTATCAAGTCAGGTTTGTGTACCCAGTTGTCTCTCAGTGTGAGTTCATTCACTGGAGTCTGTTCAGCCTATCTAGCATCACTCCCTTAAAGTCTTTTTCTTTTATTTATTTATTTTTATTTTCTGTCACCCATATTTCATTATCAGTTTCCTCACAGATTTAAAGATTATTGGAAGAAATTTAATTAACTAGATTACTTGGTCAAATGAGCATAGAGAAAAAGACCTGTGGCACATTCCCAGGCTAAAATGGGTGAAGTGATCATAGATTCAGCAATAGAAAAGATTCTTCAGTGAGCTCTAATCCCTACATTTTGGTAGTAACCTAGAGGACACTGTCCTAACTTCAGAAACCCCAGGGACTCCAAATCACTTACTCCTCCCTTGAGCAAGTCACAGCCTACTCCTCTTTCAGGAAAGATTCTCTGAAGATTAAATGCCTTAACATATGGGACGCAAGGAGCACAAAGCCTAGACTAAGGCAGACACTCAAGAAATTGTAGTTATTATTGATCATTGAGAGTGACTATAAAATTATGTTAAACAAGCATAAACTAAATCCATATCAGAATGCACAGCTTCAAATTCTGATTCCACAATTCTCTAGCTATATAAGTTGATAAATTACATAACTTTTCTAAACCTTTGTTTCCTTATCTGTAAAGTGGGATCATGATCACAAAAATTATACATAGTATATCTACAAAACACAAAACATCATGTTGAGTACACAGTGAGTGCTCAACCAAACCTAGACAACAACTGACATAGTGCTACCATCACCACCACCTCTTGCTCCATCTTAGGCTGCAGTAACAGAATCCCACATATTAGGTGGTTTCTAATGAACACAAATTTGTTGACTCACAGCTCCGGTGGCTAGGGCATTCAAGGCAAAGGTGCTCTATCTAGCGAGGATCTTCTTGCTGTGTTAGAGCGTGGCAGAAGGTCTCACAATATGGAACAGCAAGTGAGGGCAGGAGAGGTGCCTTTTGAGAGGAACCTCTGCCATAAGGATTACTCCATTCCTAGGTGGAGACTCTTGAAGGCTCTAATATTATCACAATGGCAATTGAATTTCAGTGTTTTGGAGCAACATATACTGAAGGCATGCCATACTACCATCATCACCTCCTCTGGTATCTTTCAACTCTATGAGTCTCTGATTTTGCCACCCGCGTTTTCTTCTACAGAGTTCATCTTGTTGCCAAATGAATGGGGAATGGAAAGGTTGCTTGGATAAAGAAAAAAACAAGCTGGAGAGCAAAATCAGTGTAAGTTTTTTGCTTTTCTCTCCTCTTTCCCTTCCAGCTTTTCATATTTGACTACCCATATGTGTATCCCACTCACATGACCAACAGGTTTTTATGAACTGGGGAAGACTTGAGAGGCTCTAAAGACAATTGTCTTTCCGTTTTTCCATCTCCTTCTTTCTGTTGATCTTCAATCACTGCCAATAGAGTTTCCACCTGGGAGAAAGGGATCCCCTGAAGTAGGCTGTAGTAACTAGTAAAGATGTGCCAATGTGGCAGAGTTAGTTTTGGCAATCCAGTGCCCCATTCAAGTCCTAGCTCTGCGACTTTGCTGTTCAAGTTTAACTTCTTCCTCAGCATACTTGGGTAATTCTTGAGGGAACTTTAGGAAAAGAGCAAATGACGTTCAATCCTAAGTACAGTAATAAACACACACCAGCTGTTTATTAAATACCAACTTCATCTAATGACTGAGGTTCAGAATCACCCTTTGAGAAGACTTTGCCAATAGAAATTTGAGTGTCTAGGGCATTAACGTTTTCTATTTTTAATACACCCTGAGTAATTCCACTACCAGAAATCTACTCCAGGAAAGTAATTAAGGTTAGGCCAAATATTTATCATGGGCAAAGATATGTGTCACAGTATTATTTACAATAACAAAAATTAGAGATAACCTGAATGTTTAACAATAAGGGATCACTTAAATATATCATGACATAACTGCTTGCTTGGGACTTAATGCTAGCATGGAAATCTTTTATGCAACCTTTAAAGAATTTAAAAATAAAAATGACTTTTTTGAAGTGAAGTAATTTAAATCTTGAGTATTTGACACCACATCTATAGGAGAAATATTGTCAGTATAGTCAATGAGCACATATACAGGGTGAGAACAGAAATGGGAAATGTACTGTTCATGGTGGCTCTCTTCTGCACAGCTGTCTTATGAAATTGTTTTGCTTCTGTAGATTTTCAGTAGTTCAAAATGATTTTATTGTAATTGCACATACATGAAATGTTTAAATAAAAAGAAATTCCTATGGCTATAGTAGTTGCATTTAAAAAACAAAATGCAGTTCCCTTGATTCTAGTTTAAAGGGAGAGGAAGAGACTTGAAAGAGTGGTGTGGGTTCTTCACCTCACGTCCACCAAATATCCGTGGCTGGAATGTCAGAAGTCAGGTCTGCCCCTGATATCTGGAGGCCCAAAGCATGTACACAAGTAGAAGATGCCAATTCTTTTCAGTTCCTGCCAAGCTCTGCTCCAACAGCTGGCATCACAGATCAAACACCCAGCTCATATATCCAAGTTCTATCCACTCCCCAATCACTTTCCCTTGGCCATGGCTCAGGGACTGCTCCTCAAAATGAGAAAGGATGTAACAGAGGCCCACATGTGTCCTGGAATTGGGTTTGGGGCCTCTGAGTAGGGAAGTCCCGAATTTACAGTACCAGCAGCCTGTGGTTAACAGAGTAGGTGCAGGCTGTGAATGGAATGTTCCCTGACTCTTGGGACTCTGCCTCTGGGGAGGGACATGGTGAGAGAGGACCAGAACAGGGACCCAGTGATCAGAGGCCCAATGGCAGGATAGGAATGGGTCCCTTGAAGCTATATTTGGTGCTTCCAACACCAGTAAAAACATAAATAAGGCCATGCTGAGGGGTGACTGGCCTTTTCTCAGATACATTTAAAAAGGCATCACAAAAGGAAACAGTTCTTCATCCAGTTCTTCAAGCTATTGCTACTGCCTCACTATTCTTCAACTACCATTTCCCTGTCACTCAGAGTTCCCATTAGAAGCCTCCTGAACTGTACCACCTGATGGTCAGAGATGGCCTCATGGTCCTGGGGAAGATCTGCTAGACAGCTCTATCTCATTTGAGCTGAGAGCTGCTGCCCTGTATCTTCCCCGTAACACTGGGTAAATCTGTCTCATCTATGAGCCAGCCTGCTCTCATTCCCTCTACACGCATCTCTCCTCTCTTGTCAGTTCTCAAGCACTTGCCTCACCCACTCATGAGACTCCCAGAGACACTCCATATGATTCCCAAGTCCCTTCCTGCTTCAGTTCTCCTTCCTGGACTTGATCCTGAGTTTGCCATATCCCTGCCTTGTTCCACCAAAGCACTCTGTCCTGACTCCCAATATGTGCTAATGGTGCCACCACTGCCCTGAGTACAGACACCTTTGTGCGTCTCCACAATCTCAGGATTATTGGATAACAATAAATTCATAAGCCATGTCCGTCTTGTTGGCTGAAGTTTGCCAAATTGTAGTCCCAATTTTTCTTGATGGTGTGGCCACTGGCAATCACAGATTTTTTTCATCCCAATCTTAACTACTAGCATTAACCCTCAGACCATATATTACACATCACACAGTGATCTGTGTGTGTTGTAGAATGGCTACAACAGGGTTAAAGAGGTCATAGAATTCAGGGAGGACTTACTGAAGATAGAGAGCTAATCCAGATGTAAAGAGAGCCATTGCAGGAGGTCAGATAAGATATTAAGAGCCCAGGTAGAAAGCAGCTGGAGACAGAACCAAGCCACTAGCAGGCTCAAGCAAGCAAAGGGTAAGTAGAGGGACTAACAGCAAACTTGGCAATCAGAGGAAGGAAGGGTCCAGTCAAACAGTGCAGACTGTGCTGAGCAGGAGCTCTGGGAAACAATCAGGAGTTCTGTGCCTGCCAATTCCTAAATTCATACACGGAGGGTGATCAGATGACAGGTCAGCAGGGCCTTCACTGGCAGTGTTAAGTGTCCCTCCTTTTAGGTGAGAGATGAGAGGATTGTGTTCTTCCCTGGTTTGGTGTGTTCAGTAAGTAAGTTCTTGGGCCTGCTTTTTCTGATATGGTTTTAATATGTCCATATGTTCCCAATCTATCCCAATAAGTTTATAGGTGGCACTTTTCTTCATGTCTGAGTAAGTTATCAGATTGTGATTTGTGGTCTATACTGGACGTGGGGTGGTATCTGCACACACAAACAAGATACAGAGTCATTCTGCCTTTGCACTTGCTCAAAATGGAGCCTCACAGGGAAAGGCAGAGTCTGAAAGCCACTGTTCCACATAGTATAGAGTTACTTAGAGCAGGGCACAGCCTGATCTCCCCAACCACTGGTAAATGCAGAACAGCCCTCACTCCAAAGGGAATAGGAGATAGCTTATTCTGAACCAATATAAATAGTGATGGCATGAGAATACAAATTCAGGTTGCCCCACGTGACATGTTTGGTCACAGAAAGTTATATAAATCCTATAGTTACAGAACAAAAGAAAGTCATAAACCAATATATTCACCCAATACATTGGTGGGGACTTCAGGAGGGTGGCAATAAAGCAGGAAAGTTTCTACTACGAATCTTAGATGACATTCTTAGCTTTGGGGTTGGCAGAAACAGTAGACTGCTGATACATTCCAAAAGTTTTACCTGATAGTCAAGAGGATGTTAGGTCAGACCCGGAGGTGGGCAATAAATGACTACTAAGAGGACTAAAGACAGCTCAAGATAATTTTGGCTTTAAGTCCACAACATTCCAGTTTTACACAAAGTTCTAATTAATCAGTCTGGACCCAGGGCTGGGCACAGAGCCCTCACTTGATAGCCTCCAACTTCCTTCTGCTACCCAGCCCAACCTTCTCCCACCTTCCTCTCCTGCCCCCTCCTACCCTCTCCGCTTTCTCTCTATCTCTCCCTCTTCCACTCTCTCCTGCCCTCTCTTGCCATTTCCTACCTTCTCCCTGCCCTCTCCTACCTTTCCCTGCGCTCTCCTGCTCTCTCCCCACCTCCCCCACCCTCTCCCGCCCTCTCCCCCCCTCTCCCCACCTTTCCCAGACTCTCTTACACTTCCCTCCCGTCTCCAGCTCTCTCTAGCCCTCTGCCACCCTCTCCTGACTTCTCTCAGCCACCGTCATGTGTCCCCCATCTCCAATCCAGGATTTTCAAACAAGAGATGCTCAGTACCTCAATACTTGGCTGCTAAGGACCATGCTGTTTACCAAACTTTACCCAAAACAGCAAAACAATTTTTTTTCTTCAGGTTTGCACCAAGTTGTATGAAAAAGAAGAATTTCAGCTCTTAGATGCAACTTAGGAGCTTATATTTCCACCGGAACTAATGGTTTGTTCTCTTGGTTTGTTTTTATTATGCTTGTGAGAGAATCGACAGTACCATCAGCTGAATTCTGGTTGTGCTTCTTCCTCTATTTGACTCCATGGATGTCTTTGTATTAGGTCATCCGCAGGGACTATGAAAATACACTTTTTCAGTCTTGTTCCCCAGTGGGCTCAACTTGATCTTTCTCATATTCTGGCACCCAAATACCTGTTAAGAATCTTTGTATTAGGTCATCCGCAGGGACTATGAAAATACACTTTTTCAGTCTTTGCTCCCCAGTGGGCTCAACTTGATCTTTCTCATATTCTGTGTCCAGGGCAGACATTATGTAGCCTGTTCTGGCACCCAAATACCTGTTAAGAGCCATAGAAAATTCAGATTAAGATTACAAATAGGCAAGGGCAGTTACAAGCTCCCTGTGTCTCCCATAATAGCTAACGGCTCCGCACAGGTGTAAAGAAATTGCCGCCTGTACATTGTTTTAAGTTGTTCCTCTGGGCAACCCCTGGATTCACCTGTATTTGTTTCACCAGCTTGTATTAGGAGAACTCCAAGTGTTGGGCACCAAGCTAGCTGCTGAGGATGCAGAAAAGATAAACTGCCTGCCCCTAGGGAGCTCACAGCTCTTCCCAACTTAAGGAGAACCTTGTGTTCCCATAGAGCCCTGTCCTTACCCCCTGGGATATTCACCTGTCCTCTTGATTGCCTCTGTGAGCTCATGCAACCAGCACCATGCACAGTGATTCTCGGGTATTTTTTGGTTTCAGAGTCACAGCTTTTAAAATTACTAATAACCCTAAAGAGTTTTAGTTACTGTGGGTTATGGTTATTGACATTTGTAGTGTCTAACATTAAAAGTGGAAGTATATTAATTATTCCTTCACTTCTTTATGAAAAAAAGAGTAAACCCTTTAAAATAATTAGCACACTGCTCATGAGGAACAACTACATTTTTTCCAAAGGAAAATATGTAAAAAGAGTGGAATTATGAATTTTTATGCATCTCTTTAGCACTGGCTTATGGGAAAGCAGCCAGGTCTGCACATCAGCTTCCAGCTGCACACAGGTGTGAGGACATACACCGTGCAGCATTTTGACACTCACTGAACACCCATGAGACAGTGAGGAGGAAAAAGGTGAGTGATACACTCCATGATACAATGGTTTTTTCCTTGGAACCCCTAAACTGTGTTTGGGGACTTTCAGAAGTAGCAGGACTCTATTTTGAGACATGTTGGCCCTGTCTGATGAAAACCCATGAATTATTTCAATGATCAGTTTTCCTCTGTTAACAGGAACTCTCATCTCTGTTATCCTTCCTCGCAAAACACACAACTTAATGCAGCATAGACAGAATTTCTATGATAAAGAGATCCTCACTCATTTCCTTCAGACTTTGCCAGGACTTTTGTTTGACAGTGAAATTATTCAGAGATGATCTCTGAAGCCATGGAAATTACACCAAAATATCTCTCTGTCCTGGACTGGAGAGATGGCTTAAG